CGTGCAGGGGGGGCGGACGCACCTGCACGGCATCCGCAATCACGCCCGCCAGGTTAAAACACGGGAACTCAGGTGTGTGTTGTAATATGGTGTGTGGTGTGATGCAAATATTAAAAAAAATGGCTCAGAACACTGATCCCTGGACCCGCCGTGCCTTATTCATGCCACAGTCCACAAGAACAGAATAAACTTTGTGGGATACATGTTCAAGTTTTTTTTTTTTTTTAAATGGAAGGTTGGAGATGGACCTATTAGTAAAGAAAGCTGGGTTAAGTGATTTTTATGTCATGGTCAAACTACTGCCAGCTTGTAGGCCTGTGGTACATAGCCGATAAATAGAGAAAGGTTGATGATATTTAAGATTGAACGTTGAATTAATGATCTGACTTCTTTGAGTAGTCCTATGGGAATGAGGTCCAAAAAACACTTTGATGGTTTTGAGTAATTTAAGTAATTAATCAAGCCAATTCAGAAAGATCAATTGCTGAAATGAGTCTTAATAAATATCAGTTGTATTCTAGCACCCAAAGGACACACTGTCTTTCAAGGACAATAGATTGATGTGAAGGTCAAAGTGATAATAATGCATGTATAGAGGTATTTAAAACAGTTTCTTGCTGCTATTGTTTGCATTTATGACATATAGTCATGTAGTAAATGGTATATGTGTGTTCTAAATATCAGGTTGATGTAGACTGAAGCCACGATTAATGGCAGGATTTCTTTGACCAGTCTTGTAGGAATAAAGTCTAAAAGACATCTTGATAGTTTGGCGGCAGTAATAACAGAAGTTAACTAATAAAAATCAATTGGGAAAAAAATGACTCTAAATAAATATCAATAATAGCTGTAGATAATGATACAGCTGTGAGATGGCCGGGGTCTTTCTGTGTGGAGTTTGCATGTTCTCCCCGTGTTTGCGTGGGTTCCCTCCGGGTACTCCGGCTTCCTCCCACTGTCCAAAGACATGCAGCTTGTGGGGATAGGTTAATTGAGCAATCCAAATTGCCCATAGGTGTGAATGCGAGTGCGAATGTTTGTCTGTCTCTTTGTGTTAGCCCTGCGGCAAACAGGCGACCTGTCTAGGGTGTACCCCGCCTCTCGCCCTATGACAGCTGGGATAGGCTCCAGTGCCCACGACCCTGAAAAGGATAAGCGGAAGCAAATGGATGGATGCTTGCCTTTTGAAGGAATTCATTGTTACCTTGTTTAGTTAGTAATAAACCTTGAAGTATAACATTTAGCATGGAGAAATGTACAGCACAGTTTTTATATTTTCAGAACAATGCCACAACAATACCATACATTTTTACAAAATTTCACACTACATTAACAATGATATAATAAAAGATAAGAATTATATTTCTCTTAAATAATGTGAAATTGTGAAACAGAATCTTTACATCTAGCATTTTTTTTTTTCAGGATTCTTCCTCTACAAGGCTTTACTGGCACTGTGCCCAGTTATGTGTCCGTACAAAGTGATTTTTCAAAGGATATGGGAATTGATTTTAAGGAAAGACAGCATTTTGCCACGGAGAGGTAATCTGTGTCTAAATTGTGTTCCTGATTCTGTGTTTCTAAATAGATTTTCCAACATTTTTAATGTCAGCTAGCTTTTTTGGCCAGACATTTCTATATTAATATATGGATGATAGTATGTTTTGTTTTCTTTGCCAGGACCCATCATATGCAGAATTTGAATGGGTCTGTAGTCAGCTGCCTGTCCTTACAGAGTGATTTTTCAAAGGATATGGGAATTGATTTTAAGGAAAGACAGCATCGTGTCAGGAAGAGGTAATCTGTCTCTCAACCTTGTTACTGATTTTCCATCAAATTTAATTTCAACTTTTTCCCTTTTTCCCCCACACACATTTCCATGTTCATATGTGAACTGATTTGTTTACCACAAACACAGACATCAAAAGTATATGAAAGAATAGATGTTGTAGTTTTTACTGAAAATGGATGATAAATTGTCAGTTAAATAGTCCATTCCATCTCTTCCACATATCCATTTCATGGTCGTGGGCGGCCATCCCACCTGTCTTAGGGCGAGAGGCAAGCAGTTAAATAGTATTTCAATAATAATAACTTAAGTTGACTCATGTCTATATTTTTTGTTTTTTTGTTGGGTTTTTAATGTTGTCATTTTTAATTAAAATAATTTAATTTCACAACAAATTTTCCTCAAAAAAATTAAAACAAAAAAAATCTATTTCAAATAGAGCATTTGGGGTTTTTTTTTCTGGATAGATTCTCCAACACTTTTAATGTTATTTTGAAGCTAATATGATAACATTATCCCACCAGCGCTGTGGAGGTCCAGCTTTTCGGATCCAAATAAAATCAAATCACTCAGAATGATTGTCTGGAAAACAGTAGAATTCTTAGAACAGAGTTTATTAAGCATTGTCATATGAACAGCAGAACAGTACATTTAAAAGCACAAATATCACATAGAAAGCAAGCAAAACAAACGAAAAGTGAAGCAACCCTGGGGTGTAGAGCCTTTATGCACAGACAGAAACACGCACACAAAACAGACAGGAAATAAGCAGCAGAGAAAAGCTACTCAATGCATTTTGGACTCTTATATAGGGACGAAGAGCTATATGCTTCTGTTGTACAGCTTTTTAAAGGGCTGCACCTGCTTTGAAGCAGTCCAGTTAACCACAGCTGCTGTACAGTTAAAGGCAGCTCCCCTCCAAGGTATGGAGGCCTGTCTCCCCCCTACAACTCCCCCTACCAGTGGCAGACGTCCTCAGTGCATTGGTGGTTCTTTGTGTCCGGGGATGGGCGTCCACGTACACACCAGCTCACTCCTGGTGGCTGCCTGTCAGGGCCTGGAGCTCGGTCACTCTGGCTGCCGGCGGAGCTCACGGGCA